TGGAGGCTTCCGGGGAAGGATGGTGCAGAAGGTCTTCCGTGAAGATGTGGCAAGCTCAGACATACTACGCCAGCGTTTCATGTGGCTCCGCTACCAGGTGGATTCCAGTGAATCCTTCCTTCTAATTTGATGGCCAAAGTATTTGGGTTTCATCTTCAGTATCTGTTCTTCTAAAGAGCAATCAGGGTTGATCTCCTCTCGGACTGACTGGTTTGTTCTCCTTGCAGTCCAAGGGACTCGCAGGAGTCTCCTCTAGCACCCTAATTCAAAGGCCTCAATTCTTTGGTGCTCAGCCTTCCTTATAGTCCAACTTTCACAGCCATACCGTGCAACTGGGAAAACCATAGCCTTGACAACACGCACTTTTGTTGGCTGGGTGATGTCTCTGCTTTTTAGTATGGTGTCTAGATTTGTCATAGCTTTCCTGCCAAGGAGCAAGCGTCATTTAATTTCTTGGCTGCAGTCCCCATCTGTGGTGATTTTGGAGCCCAGGAAAATAAAATCTGTCACTATCTCCATTTCTTCCCCATCTATTTGCCAGGAAGTGGGAGGACCGGATGCCATGATCTTAGTTTTCTTAATGTTGAGTTTCAAGCCAACTTTTGCACTCTCCTCCTGCATTTCTTCTGAGGGATTCTTGCCTGCAGTAGTATACCTGATGGTCATATGAATTAAATTCATGCATTGCTGTCCATTTTTGTTCACTGATTCCTAAGATGTCAATGTCCAGTCTTATCATCTCTTGTTTCAGCACGTCCAGCTTGCCTTGATTCATGGATCTTACATTCCAGGTTCCTACGGAGTATAGATCTTTGCAGCATCAGACTTTCCTTTCACCACCAGATGCATCGGCAACTGAGTCTCATTTTGGCTTTGACCCAGTCAATTCATTGATTTCTGGCGCTACTAGTACTAGCCCTCTGCTCTTCCCCAGTAGCATATTGGACACCTTCTGACCTGAGGGGCTCATCTTCCAGCGCCATACCTTTTTGCCTTTTGGAACTATTCATGGGGTTTTAATGGCAAAGATACTGGAGTGGGTTGCCATTTCCTTTTCCAGTGGATCACGTTTTGTCAGAGCTCTCTGCTACGACCTGTCCGTCTTGGGTGGCCCTGCATGGCATAGCTCATAGCTGCATTGAGCTACGCAAGCCCCTTTGCCACAACAAGGCAGTGATCCATGAAGGAGATACCAAATCCTTATTAAACCATGCTTGATTACATGGCTTTTGTTTGGTGTTAAATCTTTTTAAATTGTTTCCTTAGCCCATAAATAATTATGTAATCCTTCTTCCAAATCTGTTCTTCCAATTTTATTAATGTTTCATCTGGATTTTTAGCCCAGTACGTGATCAAAACCAGACTGGCTGCATCATAACATTATTTAAAATTGTTCTTGTTGTTAGTCGCGAAGTCGTGTCCTACCCATCGCGACCCCGTGGACAACATTCCTCACGGCCTTCCTGTGTTCCACCATCCCCCAAAGTCCACTCAAGCTCACACCAACTGCTTCAGTGACTCCATCTAACAACTTCATTCTCTGCCATCCCCTTCTTGTATTGCCATCTATTATTCCCAGCATTAGGCTCTTCTCCAGGGAGTCCTTCCTTCTCATTAGGTGGCCAAAGTATTTGAGTTTCATCTTCAGCATCTGGCCTGCTAAAGAGCTGTCAGGGTTTCTCTCCTCGAGGACTAACCGGTTTGATCGCCTTGCTGTCCAAGGGATTCGCAGGAGTCTCCGCCAGCACCAGAATTCAAAGGCCTCAATTCTTTAGCGCTCAGCCTTCCTTATGGTCCAACTTTCACAGCCATACATTGCAACTGGGAAAACCATAGCCTTGACTAAACGTACTTTTGTTGGCAGGGTGATGCCTCTGCTTTTTAGTATGCTGGCTAGATTGGCCATAGCTTTTCTACCCAGGTGTAAGCGTCTTTTAATTTCTTGGCTGCAGCCCCCGTCTGCGGTGATCGTGGAGCCCAAGAAAATAAAATCTGTCACTACCTCCATTTGTTCCCCATCTATTTGCCAGGAAGTGAGAGGACCGGATGCTATGATCTTAGTTTTCTTAATGTTGAGTTTCAAGCCAACCTTTGCACTTTCCTCCTTTACCTGCATCAAGAGGCTCTTTAGTTCCTCTTCACTTTCTGCCATGAGAGTGGTATCATCTGCACATCTGAGGTTGTTGATATTTCTCCCAGCAATCTTAATTTCAACTGGTGATCCATCTAGACCCGCCTTTCTCCTGATATGCTCTGCATATAGGATAAATAGGCAGGGTGACCGTATACAGCCTTGCTGAACTCCTTTCTCAATTTTGAACCAATCAGTGGTTCCATGTCCAGTTCTAGCTGTTGCTTCTTGACCCACGTTTAGGTTTCTCAATGGACTAATGAGCTGGTCAGGTACTCCCATCTCTTTAAGAACTTGCCACAATTTGTTGTGATCCACAAAATCAAAGGCTTTAGCATACTCAATGAAGCAGAAGTAGATGTTTTTCTGGAACTCCCTAGCTTTCTCTATGATCCAACATATGTTGGCAATTTGATCTCTAGTTCCTCTCCCTCTTCAAAATCCTGCCTGTACTTCTGGTAGTTCTCAGTCAACATACTGCGGGAGCCTAGCTTGTAGGCTTTTGAGCATCACTTTGCTAGCATGTGAAATGAGTGCAGTGGTGCGGTCGATTCAACATTCTTTGGCATTGCCCTTCTTTGGGATCCGAATGTGAACTGAACTTTTCCTATCCTGTGGCCACTCTTGAGTTTTCCAACTTTGCTGGCATAGTGAGTGTAGCACTTTTACTGCATCGTCTTTTAAGATTTTGAATAGCTCAGCTGGACTCTTGTCACCTTCACTCGTTTTGTTGTTGCTCAGACTTCCTAAGACCCATTTGATTTCACTTTCCAGGATGTCTGGCTCAAGGTCGTTGAGCACCACATCGTGGTTATCACGGCCGTTAAGCTCTTCCTTGTATAGTTCTTCTGTGTAATCTTGCCACCTCTTCTTAATCTCTTGTGCCTCTGTTAGGTCCCTGCCATTTTGGTCCTTTATCATGCCCATCATTGCATAAAACGCTTCCTTCATATCTCCAATGTTCGTGAAGAGATCTCTGATCCTCCCTATTCTATTGTTTTCTTCTATTTCTTTGCACTGTTCATTGAAGAAGGCATTCTTATCTCTTCTAGCTATTCTCTGGAATTCTGCATTCAATTGAGTGTATCTTTCTCTTTCTCCCTTGCCTTTCGCTTCCCTTCTTTCATCCACTATTTGTAAAGCTTCCTCAGACAGCCATATGGCTTTCTTGCATTTCTTTTTCTTTGGGATGGTTTTAGTTGCTACCTCTTGTACAATGTTGCAAAACTCCATCCATAGTTCTTCAGGCATTCTGTCTATCAGATCTAATTCCTTCAATCTATTTGTCACCTCTACTGTATCTTCATCAGGGATATGATTTAGGTCATACCTGAGTGGCCCAGTGCTTTTCCCTACTTTCTTCAATTTAAGCCTAAATTTTGCAACGAGAAGCTCATGATCTGAGCCACAGTCAGCTCCTGGTCTAGTTTTTACTGACTGTATAGAGCTTCTTCATGTTTGGCTGTAGAGCACATAGTCAATCTGATTTCTGTTTTGACCATCTGGTGATGTCCATGTGTAGAGTCATCTCTTAGCTTGTTGGAATATAGTGTTTGCTATGACCATCGTATTCTCCTGACAAAATTCTACCAGCCTTTTCCCTTCTTTTTGTACTCCAAGGCCAAACTTGCCTGTTATTCTATTTATCTTTTGGCTTCCTACTTTAGCATTCGAATCCCCTGTGATGATAAGGACACCATTTTTTGGTGTTAATTCTGGAAGGGGTTGTAGGCCTTCATAGAACCAGTCAACTTCAGCCTCTTCAGCACCAGTGGTTGGGGCATAGACCTGGACGACTGTGATGTCGAATGGTTTGCCTTGGATTCGAGCTGAGATCATTCAGTCATTTTGGAGATTGTATCCCAGTACTGCTTTTCCCACTCTTTTATTGACTATCGATGTCGATGTTTAGTGTTGCCATCTCATGTTTGACCACCTCCAGCTTGCCTTGATTCATGGATCTTACATTCCAGGTCCCTATGCAGTATAGATCTTTACAGCATCAGACTCTCCTTTCACCTCCAGATACATCCGCAACTGAGTGTCCTTTCCTTTTGACCCAGTTGCTTCATTCTTTCTGGACTTCTAGTACTGGCCCTCTGTTCTTCCCCAGTAGTATATTGGACACTGGGGCTCATCTTCCGGCATCATATCTTTTTGCCTTTTGGTACTGTCCATGGGGTTTTTCATGGCAAAGATACTGGAGTGGGTTGCCATTTCATTCTCCAGTGGATCACGTTTTCTCAGAGCTCTCTGCTATGACCTGTCTGCCTTGGGTGGCCCTGCACGGCATAGCTTATAGATTCATTGAGCTACACAAGCCCCTTTGCCATGACAAGGTAGTGATCCATGAAGGGGAAGATATCGTAAACACCATTAAAATATTTAAAATAACCTGAACAAAAAAAAGGGGGGGGGGAAATAAAGAGGTATTTGCCTGATGCCGAAAAGGAGAGAGAGAAGGCATCAGGCAAACTTCCTTGGGGAGCAGATTCCAGCTAATTGCTCTGTTTTTCTCTTTTCTTCTGGGAAACCTATCATCAGAGAGGGAGACCTGTGGGATGGGAGCAATGGCCTGTCCAATCTAGCAACTGCTCATCTAAAAGCAGCTGCCCCAGATGCCTCTTCGGAGGCACGCAAGGAGGAGAGGGGAGAAGGATCCTTTTGGCATCTGTTTCCTGAGCAAGCGAGTTTCAGCCCTGCAGTACAATGCCCAGTCACCATAGTCTGTGACCTTGATGACAAAACCTTTCCTTTTTCATCCAGGCTCTGGTGACCTTTGAGGAGGTCGCCGTGTGCTTCACGGAGGAGGAGTGGGCTCTGCTGGATGCTGGTCACAGAGTCCTGCACGGCCAGATCATGGAGGAGAATCGCAGGACTGTGGCATCTCTCCGTAAGGCTTCCTGTTTTTCTGCTAAGGGATAATACTTGGTTGCAACTGCCAGCATGATAAGGAAGACAAAATTACCGTTTCTGGCCCATGTCCCAGATTTTTTATTTTATATTTCAGGGCCTAGCCCTCAAAATACAGTGTTTAAAAATA